TTTTTTTTCAATGAAAAATTATAATAATTATATTAATACTCCAGTATATTTAAGAATGATTAATGAATACTGTAGCAGAATTTTTATATTTAGAAATACAAAACAAAATTATAAATTAACCCCATATTACAAGAAAATAAATTACTTTAAATTAAAGTAAAATTGAAATACTTTGCACCTTTTTGGCTAAAATGGCATAGAAAATACTAAAACTTTTTTAAAATAATTTATTCTTTTAAACTCATTTACCTTCCCAGAAGCCATTTCTATAACAACACATCCAACAGACCATATATCAGCAGACCTTCCATGACCCTCACTGTTTGTTTTCATGAAAACTTCGGGAGCCATATATGCTAGAACCAAAATAATGAATCCACAATATTAAAATGCGAATAAATTTTATAAGAAAAAAAACCTTAAAGGTCTCTACCTTGTGTTCCAACAAACCCTTGCAATTCACCATGCACCGTCACTTGAGCTCTTATTTTAGCAGCGCAACCAAAATCGCCAATCTTCAATCGATTTCCCTTATCTGTTAAGAATATGTTAGCACTTTTGATGTCTCTATGCACAATACCGTGACAGTGAAGGACAGCTAAACCAGACAAAAGTTGATAAGTGTATTTTCGAATCAATAATTCTGGAAGACCATTTTCAGAACCGGAAATTAAATTTTCCAAAGAACCTTCTTCACAATATTCCATAAACAATAGCATTTCTTCCTACATGAAAAAAAAAATAAATAAACCTTGAACATTTTTAAATTCTTGAAGATAATTTCAATTTTCTGTTTTTGTGTACCTTGTGTACTTCTAAGCCGTAATATTTCACTAAATTCTCATGAGAAATTCCTTCAAGTATTTTCAATTCAAGCGCAGTTCGTTTAATAGTGTAAGTATCGTTTTGCTGCAACGATATCTCTTTGACCGCCATCATTTCTCCGGTGGTATTGTTAACAGCTGTGTAAACTTTTCCAAACCTTCCTTGGCCTATCTTAATGCCTCTTTGCCAAGAAAAATTTACATATCGACGCCGAATGTGCACTTTTGACAATGGGTCTTTACATACTGCTACTACTTTGCCAATCAAGTTGTGTTCTCGCAAAGACATTTCCAGTTCATTATCAAGTTTTTCAACCGCATCCCTTATACGATCCTGCTTCGATATCGACTGACGTTGCCTTACTGACGTCGAATCTTCTGAATTATCATGTCTTCTATTATTAAAAAAATTAAAATATTAACAATACTTTAAATACATTTATTTAAATTTGAAGCCTTACTCATTGGAAACTGTGGTCTTTGCAAGTTCCATATTAAAGGTAATGGCTGGTGGTGTATTTGTGCTAGTTTTTCTGTTATTACTCCTCTGGCTTCTGTAAGTGGTTCGAAGGTTTGGGGAGGAAGCTCGGGATCTTGGGAACGTTCTTGAGAAATCCAAGGCCACCTTCGGTGAAGGGGTGTCGGTTCCAACCGTAGCTGTTCCTATCACATGTGATATACATGCATCCATTCGGTTCTTTAGCTCCTCAAACTCTTCATCGGTTAAATAAGCTGTGTTTTTAGGGTCGCACACTATCAATAAAAATTCGAGTCCTTGATACGCCCATCTGGGCCGCATACCACGCCCTCTCTCACATCTTTCCGTAGCAAACTTCATCCACATAAATACAAAATGTACCATACTTTTTGCCAACTTTTCTCTGTATTCCTCTACTACTATGTCGGACATCTCCTTGTACAACTTAGAAAAAGAAATAATAACAAAACCAAAACCAGTTTATTTAATATTTAATGTATATGATATCTCCGATGTTATTATATAANATATATATATATATATATCGAGTAATGATTAAGTACCTCAAATCCAAATCTATAAGCTTGCTGTAATATTTCACGACTCCTTGATACAAAAGATGACCTTTCGATGTCGTCAAATTTATCCAGTGAAACGGTAAATAAAATTGACTCAATTTTTTCTATTACTATTGGAAGAGTGCATTTTAATGAAACAAAAGCTTGAGAAAGACATTTTTTCTAAAATAGAAAAGTAAAATGTTACACACTTACAAAACAATAAAACAAATGTATAATTACAATGATATCCCCCTTTTCTAATTTGCTAAAGCACACACGTCCCAAACTTTTTAAAAATGTTATCATTTTTCCACACTTTTCTCTCTCCTCGTTTATAACTGATTGCACACTATGACATATCGCTGACAAAATGTGCCTAAAAATTAAAATTAATATTATTCTTAGGAAATTATAAAAACTTAAAGTCATGTTTACTTTCTACTTCCTTCATCTTCACTCTTTTTAATTTCCACCGTAAGTTCTTCGATTCTATTTATCAGTCTTTTACTCAACGCCTTCATTAACGAACATAACATTAACATAAACTTGTCTTCCGCTTTTTGCTTTCCACCAGGTATAAGTTCGGTTATTGAGCTTGAGAAACACCACTCTTCTTCCAAAAAACTTTTAGGGAACGTCTCATGTTCTAACAAAACCAACTGTTCCAAATAAGTCAAATACGAGTCAAATATTTCAGAAACAGTCCCATCAAGTTGAGCTAATTTCTCCTCATACCAATATTTAAATTCTTCACAGTCAACAAGTGCTATACTTATATAATGAACAAACCACTTTCTATGACTAGTAGCTTTTTGAAGACCCTGTTTGAGTTCTCTAATAAGATGTCTTAAACTTAAAGGAGATGGATTGTTGGGTTTTTGCTCTAAGCGCATATTCAAAAATTCTTGCACCATATTTAATGGAACCACACAAAGAAAAAGGAAGATCGATTTGTAGGAAGGAAGACTTAGGGCAATTGCTTCAGGACTCCATGTTCCATACCTGTGAAGCTCATCTTCTTGGTTTTCAAAAGCCGTCTTTAAAAGAAAATTTTGTTTTAATTACATATTATAACAAAAAAATTATAAGTATTGAAAATGTTCACCAAGTACCTTACTGAATATGCTGTCATCTGGTTTTTCCAACGTTAGTTTTGCCTTTTCCAGTACAAATTTGTGTAATTTGGCAAGAAATGATAAACTTTTTTCCACACCTCTAGTTTTTAAAATATTTTCTATATATTTTCGATAAGCAGTCACCTTATTGGACCCAATACTTAAAACTGACACAAAATCCATAATATTGTAAGAAAATATATCGGCAGATCCACTAGAATTGTTACTATCTGAAGGACTCGTCGATTCGAAACCAGAATCCTCTTGAAAAACAGACCATTCGATCTTATTATCGACCATTGCAAAAAGTTTTCCAGTAATCAATAACATAAGTCTTAAATGCTTTACGGTGTTGTACCAAAGACACATAGCTCGAACACGTCCAATAAATTCGGGACAGGTATAAAGAGGGTAATGCTCTCCAAATGCTTTACTTGAAGGGAACAGGGATTCTGCTTCTTCTAATCGGTTCATGAGACATTCGACGTCTCTTACCGCCTGATTTTGGACTTCCAAACATGTTCCACAAAACATACTTATACAACCATCACATACTTCACCTGATATACCGCTATCTAAACTGCGACCTGATACACTACAGGCTGCTCTTTGAAATTTATAGTTCATTATCTCATTTAAAAGACCCTCAACTGAGTCCCTAGCGGTGCATAAATAATCATCTTGTTCTGCGGGGGTCCTATCAGCGTGCCACGCTTGGAGTTCGAGCCAGATTATGTCTTTTAACTCATTCTGCCATAAAACTTCTTCACGGCTTACCTAAATAATTGAACGTTATTTTTTTGACTTGTATACATATACGTTTAAATTATATATAACAAAGTCGCATTTAGAAAAGTTTTTCAAGAAGATTTCGATTTGTGGTATATTAATATTTAATACAGAGATAATAAAGAAATATTTAGGTTTTCTAGTCAAACCGAAAAAACAGCTTACATTTCTTCGTGGATTTCGATTCTGACTCTGTTTCTCGCCACATCCCATTTTAATTAACAAACTGAGTGTCTTGTGGAAATCGACGCGATTTTGAGGACACCCATCGTCAACACCATCTCTCTCTAAAGACTTATTTAATTCAAATTTACAACCGTCTTCAGATCTTGTTTTTGGAGCAGTAACTCGTCGAGAATAAAGACTCATAAATCTTTTACAACCTTCAACAACAGGCATAGCGCTACACCCATCAAGCACTTTGCAATGTTGAGATCTACCACCCTGAGTGGCTCTAATATCCAACTTCAAGTCTCGTTCAGAATTGCGAAGCATTTTCAGTAAACGTTTATTACTTTTCTTTTCTAAATATAGAAAAATTAAAATAAGTAATATAAATTACTCATTGGAAACTGTGGTCTTTGCAAGTTCCATATTAAAGGTAATGGCTGGTGGTGTATTTGTGCTAGTTTTTCTGTTATTACTCCTCTGGCTTCTGTAAGTGGTTCGAAGGTTTGGGGAGGAAGCTCGGGATCTTGGGAACGTTCTTGAGAAATCCAAGGCCACCTTCGGTGAAGGGGTGTCGGTTCCAACCGTAGCTGTTCCTATCACATGTGATATACATGCATCCATTCGGTTCTTTAGCTCCTCAAACTCTTCATCGGTTAAATAAGCTGTGTTTTTAGGGTCGCACACTATCAATAAAAATTCGAGTCCTTGATACGCCCATCTGGGCCGCATACCACGCCCTCTCTCACATCTTTCCGTAGCAAACTTCATCCACATAAATACAAAATGTACCATACTTTTTGCCAACTTTTCTCTGTATTCCTCTACTACTATGTCGGACATCTCCTTGTACAACTTAGAAAAAGAAATAATAAGCGACATCTGTTGTACGAACAATATTCAAATTTAAATTTTAAGTTTTTAAATCATACAAGCTTTAAAATTTTAAATTTTTTCGTAATTAATTTTCAACTTAATTAAANACAGGCATAGCGCTACACCCATCAAGCACTTTGCAATGTTGAGATCTACCACCCTGAGTGGCTCTAATATCCAACTTCAAGTCTCGTTCAGAATTGCGAAGCATTTTCAGTAAACGTTTATTACTTTTCTTTTCTAAATATAGAAAAATTAAAATAAGTAATATAAAATTAAACTGTAAAATTTACTATTAATAATTCATAAGGAACTGCAGTACCACTATCATGACAAAAGCGACTTTTCAGATTTTGAACATTACTTGAAATCCATTTTACTAACAAAGCAGAAATATACTGACAAAAAAATTAAAGCAATAAAGTTTCATGTATTTATCTTTTTCCAACAGTGCATTCTGATTTGTTTCAGTTAAGCAATAATTCATTGAAAAAAGGTTTTTTTGACCTTAATACCGTAAAGAATCTAATAATTAAATTGAAACCTAATATTCTGTTAAAGGCATGAATGTTTTTTGTTTTAATTTAAAATCTATTTCTGTTGTTTCTATGCTTTTAGCAACATAATGATTCTAGGAGCACTCCAAAACTATTGTTGGTTTATTGGCAAAATTAGAGTCTTGAAAAGTATAAACCATTCTAGAAGCAATTTAATTTTCTAAATTAATAAAAAAAAAACTCACCTTCCACATCGTAACTTTCCTCACAGTCATTGCATTGTGAATTCAGTTGTGAAGCAGACATACTCCTTGAAAAAACTTTTGGGGTAGTCATTTTATTTAAATATGCAGGATTCTTTATACCTCTGAAAACAATATTATGCAATAAATGGTAAAAATTATTGTCGTAATCAAAACGTTTACGAACAAGCAATTCTTTAAAAATCAAGTGTAGTTAAAATACCCAGAATTTTCTTTCGAACGTCGTTTCCTTTCCTTGTGCTTTCTCAGCACCCTCGTACGTGGTGGTGTTGCGCTGTATTGGTCAAAATTACTGTAGTCAGAGTCGTGTTCAAAAAAGTCATCATTTATAGCGTTAGGAGATCTAAAGATTTATATTAAATTAGCATAATATAATTTGAATACCTGAAAAACATACAAACTATCGTCACTTGAATCATTATAACCTCTATGCTCAGATAAAATGTTAGTCATTATTCTGCTTTATCGAATTTAAAGAAGGTTAGAAACAAGAGGAATGTTAAAAAACCTACACCATAAAAATAATTTCTTCACGTAAATATTATAAGAACGTTACATTTTATAATAAAAGTAACACAACACCATAACATGACCACTAACCTCCACTAACCACAACACTGCTGTCACTTCTATGGCCCTGTCATAGATAAGTGTGATTGATTCTGTAATTCTATGTTTTTGGTTGTAGTCAGTTTCAATATGATTGGATCACCGTAGTTTTGAATTTGTTTTTAATTTACTTATGTGTATATAATTGTTCAATTATTATTCTTCAGAATTAAAGTAATAGAGATTAATTTGTTTAATTCAATGACTAATTTTTCTTCTCATCTAGTAATTGATTCATAATTTTCATAAGTAATTCTAATAAAATAACAATTTTTAATTTAATAAATATGCAAATAAATTTCAAAAAATACTATAATTCTTAATGTGGAACACTTTTTCTATTCAAATAAGTAGATATATAAAACATTTTACAAATTTTTATCAAAGTCTGAAATAAAACGTGCAATGCAATTTTTTCTAATTTATTAAAAAATAAATACAACTTAAATGTATTTCAACTTAACTATGATTAAATAAATTACATCTAAACCTATAATAATAACAACCAATTAATAATTTCTAGCCAAAGGATGTTCGGCAAAATATTTTCCTGTATGAAACACGCATTTGGCAGCCTTTTCATAAAATTCATCTCGGGTAGCGTATCGTCCACTAAATATTTGATTAACGTTTTCTTTTATAATACTTCTGGCGTCCATACAAAACGCAACTGTTAAAAACATTTCTATTTCCGCATTGCGAAGTCCTATGCAATAAGATCGAGACGATCGAGCTACAACAAAAATTAAAGTAATTAAAAATAAAAAAGAATTAGTTTGAGTAGGCATCAAATATTTTTTATAAGATTTTATCATGAAAATAAATTAGAAATTATTCCATCTGACGGTTCTCTCAACTCCTTTTTCTTAACAAAAAAATAAAGTGATACTTTTATACTGGCCCATTCAATCAAGCGGGCCTTTTCATGGTAAAAATATTATATAGAAACCAATGTTACTCAAAGATCTCAAAACTTTTTTCATGGGAGAAGGAGACGACGAACTTAGTCAATCATTTTTACTAATTAATACTTCTAATAAAATTATTTTTTATTCCTACCTAAACAAGCAGTCATGGCATAAATATAAATAGCACACTCGGCAATTCTCTTTAATTCCATATGCTGGCTCACAACTTTAGTTCCATGAACTGATAGAAGTGTTTCTGTAGCAAACTGCAGCCTTAAAACGCAATATCTAAAAGAAAAATAGAAAACTAATAATGCAGTAGGTGAAATATAGTGGGTGATAGAATAGAAATTTCAAAGTCAAATTGCTGATTGGTTTCAACAATTGCTAAACGCTGGGGGTGTCAGGGTGTCTAAAAAATAAACATTACTTGGGCGCTAATAATTTATACTTGTGCAAAAATCACTTGGTTCATTCTAGGCTTGAAAAAGCTGCGTACTACCCTGGATGAGGGTGTATATTGACAATAGACACCTCACCTAGAGTGGCAAACTTTGGCGTCCCATTCAACTGCAAATCATATCGATATATCAAGGCATAATTGTATGTGAGATATGATTAGAAACCAATAAGTTATCTGACTTTGAAAACGCCCATTTATTCTTTCTATTACCCTTTCTAAATTATAGAAAAAAGTGAATAACCTAGTCAAATAAAAGGAATAAATAGCTGAAAAAAAGAATAGAAGCAAATTTAAAAAGAAAAACAGTTAAAATGAAAAATAAGGCAAAAAACACAAGAAAATGAAAAAATACTCACTCCAACCATTCAGCTGGCAATTTTAATGAAGGGTGCAAATACTCGTCTAAATGTAGCGTCAATTTTGGATTATCTTCGACCTGTCTACGTTGTGACCACGATCTTTTGAATACATAAGCTGAATAATAAAATGGATTACGAACCTTTTCGACCACATCTTTTAATTTCAACTAGAAAATAAAAAAACTCGTCTTAATTTCATGGAAATCATTATTAAAAACATGAAATTAAAGTTAATAAATGTCATAGTTTTTTTAAATAAATTGCCTGAAAATCATGGTTTAGTATTCAAATTGCATTTTCTGATTAGAATAATAACTTAGTTTTATAAAAACATCAACCGTTTGATGACAATGTCTGCCATATTGTTATTTTTAATATTCTTTAGTAAAAAAAAAAACTTACACCAGCATACTGTAGCCCTAAAAGTGCTACAACTATTTCGAGATTCGCATTTGGCTCGTGTAAAAGCCGATAAGCCAGGGCGTCATTATGAAGTTTATTAAGCCAATGGTCTGTAAGATAGGTTTGTGGTCCCATAAAATCCATTGCTTCTACTGCTGCTTTGTGGGCCATTTTACTATTAAATATCTAAAACGTTTAAGTCTGTTTGCTACTAATATGTAAAGAGTAAACTGAAAAATTATGTTATACCTTTACTATAGCTGCCTCTAATTCACAGTCCTGATTCTCATACTGATCCGAAAGAAGAGAAGTTAAATATGTCATACTTTCCATTGCATACAGCCAGCTACTTAACTACAATTTTATAATCAACACATGAATTATTGAATGTGAATCTTATAAAGTAATGTAAAATATTACCTTTCCTATTTTATAATAACTAAGATCTGTTTCACTCAAACAAACATTACCAATGTTACTTTCACAGGTAAATTTAGTAAGTCCATTCAATATATTTTTCGTTAATGGTATACAAGCAGTGCCAATACCCAATCTTACTTCTGTTAGTAGTTGCTCTGCCACTTTTTCACCATGATTTAGTTCTCCCAATAAATTTTCTTATAAAAATAAAACATTATTGTGTTACTAATTTCATATTCATTAAAACTAATACATACCCACTGGAACAGGTGTATTAACAAATTTTATATCTGCAACACCACTGTCATGTATTCCTAATGTTTTACAAGGAGTATGAGAAATTCCACCAAAACCCCGTTCTACTAAAAACAAGGAAATCCTAGGTTCCTTAAAACCACTTTTACCAATAATATTTGTTCTGACTAAAACTATAAACAAATCAGCAGAATCTCCATTAATTACACAACATTTCTCTCCATTTAAAATCTGCAATTTCAACAGAAAATGACCAATATTGTAATTTGGCATGTGAAAATAACACTTACCCAACTTTGCTTATCTTTACTGAGCTCTGCCGTTGTTTTTAATGAGTAAGGGTCAATAACTCCTTTTTCATTAACACACAATGTACTAAAAATCTTTCCTGTACTTAACAGAGGTAAATATTTAGCTTTTTGTTCATCAGTTCCAAATCGAAGGATAGTTTGAATGCCAAAATGTTCATTATTTAATAAACTCAATGCAATAGAGGAATTATTGTAAATAGATTCATCAAATTTGCAATTCTCTGTTACAGTTAATTCTCTTCCACCAAGAAGTTGTGGAACTTTTAAACCTGTTAGTTTTAAAGTCTTCATTAAATTTATATAATCGTCTCTACTTATTTGATCTCCTGAAGAAAGTGCATCTTCTACTGGTTTTACTATATTATTTAAATCTGCTAAATCCTCTTTCTCCAATTGGGGATAAGACAAAATTTCAGTATCAAATGTACCCAAAAACAAATTCTTAACAAAAGGGGCTCTCTGAGGTTGTTTAGAACGTACTTTTATCTTCAGTTGAGACAACTGTTCAATGTCTTTCAAAATTTTGTCTTGAGATTGTGAGGTGGTCTTCGGATTAATTGCCGGTTGAGTAGAAAAAGGGTTCGAATTCCTTGAATGTAGCCGTTTAAAAAGCTTATACAAATTTTTACGATTTTTATGTAACGACTTTAACATTTTTACTAATAACAAAGTAAGTTTTCGAGTGATAAACTAAGAAAACCTCAAATTTTGAAACAACTTCAAGGTTATAAATGTAAGGTTATGAACTTATCTATGGTTTATGAGACATAGATAAATTATAAGCCATAGGTTATCTATGGCCATAGGTAAGGTTATGGGCGCATGTACAAAATATAACCTATGAAAGGAAAACATTTTTAAATTGATCTACTTATTCGGTGCCTTTTTGTAATTATAGAAAAATGCAATTAACCAAATCACCGAAGTTTGATTCAAAACGTGCACGAGAAATACTTTTAAAAGAAGATAAATTTATAACTCATTTATTTTCAATTTTACCAGTTCCTGTTTCAAGAAGAGAACACGACTCCAAAACAGGTATTTTTTGCACAATAGACATAATAATTCCATTATGCTGATTTTATAATAATTGCTTTAGATGAAGAAGAATATTTACTACCCAGTAATAAACCCCATCAATTAGTTTCATATGGTGGCAATGAAAAGCCTAGCAGAGCTTCCTCACTCCTAGAACTTCAAAAACGACTAGAAGCAGTCAAGGCAAAAAGACTGACTGTTAAACAAAAAATAGATAAAAAGAAACTTAAAAACAAAATAAAGAAAAATGAAAAGAAGAATGAAAGGAATGCTAAGAAAAAGTTAGCAAAGGCTGTTAAAAGTACGACTAGTGGAAATTTAGATAACCAAAAGGAAGAAAATGAAATATCTCAAAATACATCAGAAGTTACTCAAACTCAACCTGTTTTTAACAAAGATGCTAGTATGGTATTTTCAAAAATTGATTTTTCTGAAGTTGGTAAAAAAAATAAAAAAAAGCAAAAAGTAGAAAAAGACCCCAAAATGATTTTGAAAAAGTTAGAAACACAGAAAGAGAAAATTAAAGAATTAGAAGAAAAGGGAGAAGTTGAAAAAGCAATCATCACCAAACAGAAAGAAGCATGGAAATCAGCTTTAGCAAAAGCTGAAGGTAAGAAAGTTAAAGATGACCCTTTGCTTCTAAAGAAAACTGTTAAAAAACAAGAACAAATTAAAAGAAAAAGTGCAAAGCAATGGGAACAGAGAAAAGAAAAGTTGGAAAAAGTAAAAGAAGAAAGGCAGAAGAAAAGGCAAGAAAATATAAAGAAGAAAAAAGATAAAAAGAAAGCTGATAAAATGAAAAAAGCTGCCAAAAAAGGGAAAATCATTTTGTAAATAAGTATACACAAATATGTAATAAATAATAAGAACCAATATTTTTTAGAATAAAAGGATATCTTGACTTTTTGTTTGCTTTTTCTTTCAATGTTTTGATGTTATTCTTAAATCAAAATCAAGTCAATCAACAGTAGCTTGAATAAACAAAGAGCAATTTTTTACTTTTCTTTTTACTTTACCATACGCATATGTATTCTAAAACAACGATATATTCTGGAATAGATGAAAAATAAAAGTTTTTTAAAACTGCTAGGTATGACGCACTTCAAATTTAGCGTTTACTTTTTTTATTACTAATTTTTAACAAATTTAAGAATTAAATTAAATTTTGCAGATGTGTAACAAAGTGAACACAAAATATTAAAAGCCACATGAAAAATAAAGTGCGTAATTTTTGAAGATTTTAAAAGATGGTAGATAAAACTGTTTTATTTTTCATCAGATTTTTAATATTTAGCGTTTAATTTGTTTCCTTGCTAATGTTCAACAGCTTTACCAAATCACATTTTGCAGATATGTCCTTTAATTGCTTACTTACTATTTTTTGTTCAAAGATAATTTCTAAAGCAGTTTTACTCCTAAACATCTTTAAGTATCGTTTGTACGCAGAGCAATGGTGTAGTTAAGGTTGTATAACTAAATTGAAATAAAATAGGATATTCTTTTGTAAAGGAGTACACATGTCAGGACCGTACTCAGAATGTGCAATCAGGACAGGATTAAATAAAATTCAGGACAGATTAAATGCTAAACTTTTCCACATTTGTATAGTATAAGTTATTTGAGTTACTAGTGGTAAATTATAATGTTTTAAAAATATTAGAAATGTGTATTGCTGGATCTTAAATGGGTAGAAAACTTATATTATTAAAAAAAAATTAGTCATAATTCGGGAATGTTTTCGAACCTTCTAGAGTATTTTAAAGCATTTTCGAATCCTGTAGATGTAGGGCATTCAAGAAAAATGTGTGACATTCTGCAACGTTCTGATCTAACTCAGTTAACACCTTTATTACTAGATATGTGCAAAATGTTTTTATAAAAGCATAAATCTAATATGCAAATACTTTTTTGATTTGTTATTTGAAATGTAAAACATAAAATAGATTTCCTTTTTGTATTATATATATTTTTCGGTTGGAAGTGATTGAGATGTAGTTTTTCTATCTTTATGTTATAGTTTCTTAAGTTCAGCAACAAATAATTGTTCTATATGCTTCCTTANCAAAATAGTTTGTTTAGCGTGAAAGATCAGAACCAAAATAGGATTGCAAATAATTATATTGATGTAAAATCAACATCAATCTTTTTATATCAAAATTTTTACAATACCGTTTTTGATCTTTTTCATATTGTAATAAAAGAAAGAAATGGAATCCACAGTTTCTTTAGCTTTAAGTTCATCTAATAAGTGAAGTTCTTCGAAACATTTTCTAAGAATTTTGGATCATACGCATTTATTAGCACACTACAATATCTTGCAGTTTTCAATTTTACACAGTTTCGATACTGTTTTGCGAGTTGTTTCATCGTAATTCATAGAATTTTGTAGTTTCTTTTAAAGATACGATAAGCGGTAATTTAGCAGGTGGTGATATCAATGTCAAATTCAAAATTCCATGGACCATGATGTTGAACCGGGAGAACAATATTGATCCAATATTTTAGATTATCTATTTCCGAGGAGTTTAAAATTTTTTGAGTTCTCTTCAGATAAAGAATTAGAAGGCATTCATGGAATATCTCTTTGTCCCCTTTTTAAGTTTCTAATACATTCAATGGCCAATGTGAGCAACATTAATCATTTTATATAATGTTTGATCGATGATACTATAGCAAAACTTTTAACGGCAAAAATGTATTTTGTATTTTACAAATAGAAAATACGTTTGGAAAAATATTCTAAATAAAATACAAAATGCTTTTCTCAAAAAAGAATTTAAATACAAGATAAAATTAGGTATTTTTTATTTTGTATTTGCAGTTTAAATGCAAGTATTTCAAATAAATCACATCTCTGGTAATAACTCTATATTTGTAAAGTAGCCTAATTGTGATACTAAAAAAATTCTGTAATAAAAAAAAGATTACTTATATTTTAAATGCAAGTATTTACAATAAATCACATCTTAGATAGTGATAGACTGATAGTCAATACAGATGTGATACAGATTTGTAGACATATTTATTTTATTAGAAGCGTTCGAAATGTGGTGTTATAGGCGGATGATGAGGATAACGGGGGTAGAAAAGGTTAGAAATGAAGAGGTATTAGAAAGAATAGGAGAACAGAGGACTCTGTGGAAGTCAATAAAAAATAGGCGAGATAGGTTGGTAGGACACCTTCTTAGGCATGAAGGTCTAGTCAGAGACATATTAGAGGCAGAAACAGGAGTTAGGAGGGGTAGAGGTAGACCTAGATTAGATTACTGTTCGCAAATAGTTAAGGATGTGGGTTGTTCTAGTTTTAGGGAAATGCGAAGTTTAGCTCAGGATAGGAAAGAGTGGAGGTACGTGTCCAACCAGTCTTAGGACTGATGACCTTATGATGATGATGATGATGTTAATCACGTATTACTTCTGGTCATTTATCTGTAGCTAGCTATGGTTTTAAAGGGATTGTAATGTCCAGGAAATACATATTTTGCTTATGACTAAATAGAGAGGGGCATCTATTTAATTAATTTAAAAAAACACCAAAAAAAGCTGATGCTAAGTACCGAATTAGCTTATTATACGTTATATATTTTAAATGATTGAATGATCAGTTGCTATTAAACATTTTAAAGAATTTCTATTTTATTTGCGTATTCTAAATTGTATTTACGAAACGAAGAGGCCAGAAAGAGATTATATGCTTTTTGCAGTCGTAAACAACACCAGAAAAAAAGCCTTTCAAATAACATCACCGATAAAGATCACATTTGACTCACGGATTCTGTTGTTTGCATGAATATTGTAGGAATTTTAACTGCTTGTGTTTAATATTCTTTTCTAATAAAATTACACGTAAACAGTACCGTGTAATATTGACAACATAATTAACTGACTTTATTTCATTATCTTTTAATGAATTTGATGTCTACTTTAACTGAATTTTATATATTTAATTCGTACGAATAAAAACGAAAATCTTTTTTTAAACTTTTAACAAATGAAAGTAAATGATAAATAAGTGGTTTAGTCCAAAGAACTGCAATGTTGTATGTGAAATAAATACGCATGCATTTATAATAATTCAAAAACGCTTATACTGTCTTTATTTTGTTTAATTTGAAATATAAGACCTTTTATCATTATAACATTTTACAATTTTAGGAGAAAAGTTTCAAATTTTTGGTCTAGGCCTATGTACCTATATAGTTTGTTAAATATAACCCTAGACTTAACTGTATTTTATTATCATGAATATTTATTCTTTATTACTTGAAATTTCAACCTCCAAAGAAGGAGAGGTGTTAAAAGGGGTTGCAATTTTTGTTTGGGACATATTTTATTTGTAGTTGAATTTACTTGAAACTTTGTATTTATGCTCTTTGATATAATTAATCAAGTGAATTTGTTAAAGTTAAAAGGTTTTATCGGGAAACAATATTAATTTCTGCGAGCAAAACGCGGAGAAAACCTAAAAAATAAACATAAAAAAAAACAACAAAAATTACATTTTTATTGTTGAAACTTTCTTGTATTATATTTAAATATTAAGTAGGTTTCTTCGTAAATGCACCTGCGATAGTCTTAATATTATTAAAAGTTATTACATGTTTTTAGGGGTTAAGTTTCGTATATTTCGTTCATACAAGTAAAATGGAATTGGGAATTTATTTGTTTAGTTTTGTTTATTAAATTTACAGGAGATGTAGTATAATAGAAAGCGTAAGAAGAAAACAGGATAAAGGTAATACAAAATAAATATAATCAATTACATGTATCAAAAAAAACAACAATAAAAACAAAATAAAACTATATAATATAAAAATTCTATAGGTATATTAGGATAATCTTTAAATCTCTTTTAAGTAATAATTTAGTATAAATGGAGAGGTGGTTTTTAATTTCTGTATGTATTGTGTATACTTTACATATTTCATTAGTTACACCATTTTCCAAACTCGGCGCTATTCTCAATCGCAGTATCGCGAACTTTCAGTAGTTTTCCAACATTGTCTTTCGATGGTATTTATGTGTGTAAATCTGCACTGTAACTTAACGATAAACGACGATAAAGTCCCTATTCAATACAATATTCAAGTTAAAAGAGAACATTACGCGTATGTTTGAACTTTAAGTGGAAAAATGCTGTGAAAATTTTCCAAAATGAAGGTAGGCACATTATTCACATCTTTAAAACACCATAAGTATATATGAAATTTTTTAAAAATAAGTTAGCCTCATAATTTTTAAATAATTTCATATATAATTTTTGTTGCGTATGTACGAAATAAAACGTATATATTTATATTAAAAAACAGCGGGGTTAACTTATTTTTCTGTTGTTGATAACGAATTTTTCCAAGCAGG